CACCGATGAAATCACAGTTCGACGTGATACCATCTGACGCGGCCTTGTTGGCCCTTCCTACCGAATCACGCCTTGTTGTGGTTCCAGTGGCGTCGCATGAGTTGCAGACAAGGTGGTGCATAATTGGAAAGGGAACAAATGGGCAATAGGCTTACTAGCTACTATTAAAATTGTAATGAGCGGTAGGCGGGCGCACTGGTTTGGTCTGTTCTTTCTATTGCTTTCTAAGAGTCCCTCTGTGCGTGTGCATGTGCGTGTGTGCGTGTGTGTGTGTGTGTGTGTGTGTGTGTGTGTGAGAGAGAGAGAGAGAGAGAGAGAGAGAGAGAGAGAGAGAGAGAGAGAGAGAGAGAGAGAGAGAGGCAAAGAGACAGTGAGTGTGATTGATGACCAATCCTTGTCAGTGTCTGATCGATCAGTAAAAAGCAGACAATGGAAACAGTACAATTTCTTTTTGGACAAGCTCGGCGTAAAGCCATTCATACTTATCATACTATGTACAGGAAAAAGAGCGAACATTATTCTTGAGCTCAAAACCCCGCGGCTGATATGGACCAAGCTCTTTTATGCGCATTTTCTCTTCTAATTGTAGCCTGCTGAACGGCACAAGAAGCAAAGTGTTAACGTGATTCATCTAGATTTCTACAGAAAGTCTACTAGAATCTGCAATATATCCCGTAATATACATCTTTCGATATTTACAACTGTTTTTAGATGAAACCGCGTAAAAGCTGCAATAAAATTAAACAATACTAACAACTCATTACGCTCACAATCTGAGAAGATTTAAAGATTTCTAATTACATGTACTTCGTGCAACACCAACAACCAGACTGAATTCAAAAATTTACCTTATATGGGGTGCCCACTAGGGAAGGGGATCGGCAGATCGGGCCGATCGCCCGACTCGATCGCCTAAAAAACAAACGTGTTTGTTTTCAGTTTCAGGCGATCGAGTCATGCGATCGGCCAGATCCAGCCGTAATGGGCACCCCGTATTACCTGAACAGGACTTGCCACACAATAGAGGGAGACAACAGTTTCGATACCCATTCTTCATTGAGTAATGAGTTACTGTAGACTCTAGTGTAGTAGATGCTAGCCTAGCGGAAACTTGGTTCAAATTTTTAGCTTGCATCACAAAGAGGAGTTTCACGCACCTCTCTTCTTGTGCGGGAAGAACGATGCCTAGATTTCTCTACAGTGACAAAAATAACTTTGGTGCAAAGATTTTGCTTGCTCCCTGCAGACACTACCGCAAGCGGTGAGACAAGCATTAAACCCTCCTCGCCGTCTGTTTCTTCACTGGCGCGCGCGCAACCAGCGGGTGACGGATCGCAAGGATGTAGCCTAGGCTAGTACTAGTATGTAGATCTAGAGCACTGACTGGTTTAGAATAATTAGAAAAGGGGAAGGGGGAAGGAAGGAGGGGGTGGGGGTGAAGGAAGGCCAGGGTTAGGTGGACCGCTTGCACCAATTGCACCAATGGCGCCCCGCCACTGTGTGGTTCGAACTGTGTGGTTCGATGTTCGGAGAAATCAAAGGCGTCGAAAAGTTCACACTTGGGTGTGATCCTTTCATTATTGTCTAGGCCCCTGCTCCTGAAGTGAACCTTGTACCACTCATCGAGAAATTTAGAGCGGAGATCTTATTGTATGTATGAGTGTGGATGATCTATAATGAAGGTTTTTTTTGCTCAGAAAAACACGATCTAAAATTTTTTATGCGGGAACTTCAGACTCCAGAAAGGGATCTTAGCGGTGATAGTTGAAGGAAAACGAAACATTCCGTGACCGTGGAGTGCGGAAGTGGCGTTCTTTGGCTTTTTGGAGACTTTTTATGTGTTAAAAAGAGAATTTAGCTCCCATGCCTCTTTGAAAATGGTGGGCGTTGTACATAATAAACATGTAAACTTTGTACCACGTGTTAACAAGCAAAAATAGTTCAGGTAACTGGTTAGCATAATCACCGCAGTGGACTGTTTTGTTTACATTCGCTTGTAGATAATGTCTCCTACCCAAGGAGCTTGGAACTAAACTCCTAAATTGCTCCTATTGCATTCGT